GTCTGTGCAGGGGTCAGTGGAATACATTCAACTGGGCAACCAATGAGACCAAGGATACCTTCCTTTTAGGAAAGTAGGACACATGGGCTGGCACAAGACCACCCAGGAGGAGGGCCTTGAGAGCAGCATGGGGCAGGGCCGGAAGCCAAGAGTAGGGGTCTCCCTAGGTATTTGTGCAGGAGATGGAGCCCCTTGGGGCTTGGGAAGGGGGTAGTAAGGTTGGGAAGCCAGCCCCAAGAGCTCTTAGTGCTGGTAAACTGGTCCCCTCTACTTTCTGAGGGCCTGAGCCCTTGTCCCTCTGGAAGGCAGTCCCTGCTTGAGGCTGGTTCTCTGGGCATCCCTTAGGCCCTGGGCAGTCTTGCTTCCAAAAAAGGCCGGCAGCCCCCAATCCCTTCGATTCCTTTTATATCTTCCCTAGGAGGCACCGCTGCAGGGCCGGGGACTGACTGGAAAGGCTACCTTGAGTCCATCTTGCACACAAAGGGGCAGCTCATTTCTCATGTTATTGCAGGGTTGAATTAATCGAAAGTAAACAAAAGGATGAATAAATAAAGGAATGAACGTATGACAGGCCCAGGGATTTCCCTGGAAGTTGGCAAAGTTCCTTCTTCTCACAGCCAATCTCTGAGCAGAGAAGGGTTGAGGCCTCAAAAGAGGCCGAGCTTCTGGAAGAGGAAGGACGTGATCTTAAAGAAAGTTGAATATAAACTCAGAGAGGCACAGGCCTCTACCTCTGCAATATGCCAGGAACTTGGCAAGCACTGGGGAGGCAGAAGAGACACCTCTGCCTTCAAGGAATGTTTTGTGGAGTGTGTATAATAACAAGGTGCGAAAAGGGCTGGGGTGAAGGTGAGGGCATGGTGGGAAGAGTCAGGGAAGGTGTCCTGGAGGGAACAGATCAACAGAAATTTGACCTGTGATCAGCAGTAAGTCTGGGGAAAGGCGAAAAGGGCATTCTAGCCAGACAGAAGCTAAGTGTTAAGACACTGATATGTGAAAGAGCACAGTAGTTCTAAGGCCTGCAAAGCCATGCACACTGCGATAAAGGGATAGGTGAGAAACCAGGTTGGAAAGGTAAGCAGGGCCTTTCTGAAGGGGGTATTCAAAGACAAACAGGACAATATCCACGCCCTTGTGGGGCTTAGTGTTTCACTGGGGCAGAAGACAGGCACACAAAAAGTTAAATGACAATACATGAGAAACCACACTTCTTTACTGATCTGGTAATAAGACTGCTGCTTACAGGCATGTGGCCAACAGAGTCCCTGGAATTGACAACATGTTCTTTCTTTTTTAACTCAGACATAATTTAATATATACCTGATTCACAACATCCATATTATTGATTACTCAAGATACCCTTTCCATTCTAGAATATGGGATAGTTATGTGGTGCTTAATTGGTACAAGCAATGTTAACACATCAAATGTGGTTACTACTAAAAGTCCACGTGTTCCACCTTTCAGGGTCCATTTGATATCAAGTAATTCTCTGCTTATCTAAAGACCATGAGAAACTTGCTGATTGGGAACACCTGTGCTTAACGGTGCCAAGCAGACCTCTCTAAGGTCACACCATACCCTTTGCGCAGGGCCGTGGAGCAGCTCAGGTCCTTTCTTCCCAAGGCCTGCTGAAATATCAGGTATACACCAGGAAGACAGAAGCAATAGGAGAGATAGATACAGATATAGAAATATGAGATGGGATTTATTAGGGGAATTGGCTTACATGATGGTGGAGGCCAAGTCCTAGGACATGCACACTGAAGGCCCTGGGATGGCAAAAGTGTGACTCAGTCCAAGTCCAAAAGCCTCACAGCCAGGGAGGTCGGTGGTATAAACTCACAGTCCCAAGTCTGGAAAGCCTGGAGTTTTGATGTTCAAAAGCAAGAGGAGGAGAATACCCCAGCTCTGAGAGAGAGACAGAGAGAGAGCGCGCAAGAGAGAGAGAGAGAGAGGAAGAAGAAAGAAGAAGAACAAGAAGGAGGAGGAGGAGGAGGAGGAGGAGGAGGAGGAGAAGGAGAAGGAGAAGGAGAAGGAGAAGGAGAAGGAGAAGGAGAAGGAGAAGGAGAAGAAGCAGCGGCGGCGGCCGCGGTGGCGTCCGTGGCAGCAGAGGAGGAAGGAAAAAGGAAAGAAGAAAGAAGAAAGAAGGAGAAGGAGAAGAAGGAGGAAGAGGAAGAGGAAGAGGAGGAGGAGGAGGAGGAGAGGGAGAGAGATAATATTTTCTGATGTCCTTGTCAGCAATTTGAAAACATGGGGGCTGGCCGGGCACGGTGGCTCACGCCTGTGATCCCAGCACTTTGGGAGGCTGAGGCAGCTGGATCAGGAGGTCAGGAGATCGAGACCATCCTGGCTAACACGGTGAAACCCCGTCTCTACTAAAAACACAAAAAAATGCCAGGCGAGGTGGCGGGTGCCTGTAGTCCCAGCTACTCAGGAGGCTGAGGCAGGAGAATGGCATGAACCCGGGAGGCGGAGCTTGCAGTGAGCTGAGATGTGCCACTGCACTCCAGCCTGGGCAACAGAGCAGACTCTGTCTCAAAAAAAAAAAAAAAAAAAAGAAAAAAAGAAAAAAAAGAAAAAGAAAATTTGGGGACTGCTTGATACTTAGGTTAGGTGGAATCCTCGTTGGTTGAATATGCTTTCCCAGAGAGTAATGACTATGAATGAAGGACAACCTAGAGGAGAATCTTTTGTTTTGAACCTTAGGGACTATTTTTTAAATCAGTTTTCACTCCTGGCACAGTGAGGGAACAAGTTATAGGACTAGGTTCCTTTTCTTACCAAAAAATCTCCAATATATATATAAATCAGAAAAAAATGGCAATAACAATAAAACTCACAAAATAAGTTTCCAGGAAAGAAAAGGCCATATCATAAACTTTTAAAACTTGAAAACCATTTTAAATGTCATTTAACAAAAAGTTATTTTAAAGTCCAAAGGAGATTAGTTTATCCTCAAGAAACCACTGGAGACAGCAGTTCAGATCAGAGGTGTGGCCAATTCTAACACGGGGGAGGGAGATCCTTCCCAATGATTGGTAAGGATCCAAAGACTAAAAAACACTTGACTCCGCCAGGTGCAGTGGCTCACACCTGTAATCCCAGCACTCTGGGAGGGCCTAGGCGGGTGGATCACGAGGTCAGGTGTTCAATACCAGCCTGGCCAAGATGGTGAAACCCCATCTCTACTAAAAATACAGAAGTTAGCCAGGCAAGGTGGCGGGTGCCTGTAATCACATCTACTTGGGAGGCTGAAGCAGGAGAATCGCTTGAACCCGGGAGGTGGAGGTTGCAGTGAGCTGAGATCGCGCCACTGCACTCCTGAGGTGTGAGTTTTTGAGGCAGAGCGAGACTCTGCCTCAAAAACAAACAAACAAACAAAACCACTTCGCTCTTTGACCATTTCTTCTAGCCTTGCTTCCATGCTGCATTTGTTAACATGTTTCCATTATAGTTTTATCAATAGATCAGTGTATTACATTGAAAAGCATTGTTGAAAAGCTGCTACTTTGGGAGTATTTGTGGGAGGGATGGTGGAAGAGACTGGCCCACTGCTCCTGCCTCTTCCATCTCAGTCACCCAAAAGCACTAAAACCTTTACACCTGGAAGAACTGTCCAGCAGGCAGAGCTTACTAAGGATAGAATGGGTACCACAGTAGTGCTGAGCTTCCTGGACTAGGATGTAATCAGATAGGGGCTTGGATGACTACATGGAGAAATGATGTGCCAGGGATTCTGGGGCCAAGCAGTGCTTAGGCCCATCCCGGAGGGTCTCTCATGATGTTACAGCAATGATTCTGTGAGTCTGATGCATGGTGCACCCGGTTTGAGTCTCAGTACTTCAGATTGGGATGAGATCAGCATGTTACTTTCAAGGAAGGCTTCCAAGGGAGCCAACTGAATGGCAAGGACCTGGACAGACAATGATTGCTTAAACCAACCCTGCATCCCTACAGCATCACCAAGCTGAGGAGGTGGAATCTCTGAGGGGCAAGATATGCAAGATATCTTTGTGTCTGAGGGTGATGTCTCCTAGGGAGTGGGTTTGATGAAGTTTGGGTTGGGTCTCAATCCAGCTCTGCCATATCTTAGAGGGGAAAGCCTGGGCCAAGTTACTTCAGCTCCCTGAGCCTCAGTTTTCTCATTAGTCAACGGGAGCTCTACTTACTTCGCAGGGTTTCTGTGAAGTTTACACAGGAGTTATAAAGCATCTAGCCCAGGATCTGGCACCCTGCAGTGGTCCAGTAAGTGATCTTTTATTTCATTCCTCCCTTTCAATCTCCTGTGTCAGGATATCTGTCGTTTCTCCCCTCTGGGCCTGTTTCTCTGGGTCGTTGGTGCCGGAGCTGCCTCGGGAGCTGACTTGGCAACCCCACGCTCAGAGCAGACTTCCCCAGCTGCACACGGTGGGAGGCGCCTGGGCAAGATTTGGGAGCTCGCCAATGCAGACAGGTATTTCCAGTCCTGCTAGAGAAGCAATGGGTGGAGGTGGAAATGGGGATGGGGGAGGAGATCGGATGAGCCCGGAACCTGGGTGGATCCCCTGGGAGGAGGGCGGGGAGTCATGCTCCCCGCCTGGTGCTCCTGCCCCCAGGCTCAGATTTCAACCCTTGCTGCCGCCTCTGTGGCGCGCCCGTTCAGGGAGCAGAGAGGGTCGCCGAAAGAAGGACGGCAAGGGGCCAGCTCCCGCAGCCCTGGAGCGCTGGCCGGAGCCGGCGGCCCCTGTTGCTGGCGGCGGGAAGCGACCCACCGGCCTTTCCACCCTTGGCTGTGCAGAGGTCCACGAGGGGGCGACCTGAGCCCACGTGCCGCCGAACCCTTCCCTCCTGAAACTACAACTCCCAGGCCGCTCAGGGGTCCCGCCCGCCTCAACGCGCCTCTGGCGGCTCCAATTGGCCGCCGCGGGAGGGGGATTGGCGGTCTCCAGGGCGACGGGAGGCGCTCGGGGCATCCGAGGCGGGGAGGCGGGTCCGCCCCCTATTGTGTAGCGGCGAGAGTGGAGCAGAGCGGTGCGGAGCAGGTGAGGGAGGGGGCGTACTGGGGGTATAGAAGTGGGGGTGCTGGCAGGGGCATGGAGAGTAGTGCGGAGTTGTGGGGGACAGGAGAAAGCGGGGAGTTCTAGAGAGAAGTGGAATTCGTTGGGGGAGCAGAACTAGGGGAGTTCTGGGGAGTGAAGTGGAATTCTTGGCGGGTGGGTGGGGGTTCCCGGAGAACTGCAGGAGTTCTGGAGGCAATGTGGGGGAGTTCTTGGTGGGTTCTAAGAGAAAGGAGGAGTTCCAGGGGACCGTAAAATGCGAGGGAGAAAGGAATTGTTGGGGGTGGGGTATCAGAATTGTATTGTGAGCTGAGGCAGGAGAATCCCAGGGAGGAGAATTCTCGGCAGGAGAAGATGGGGAGAAGTGGCTGGGGGGCGGGGAGACCAGAAGGGAGTTCCTTGTAGCGCAGGGGGCCTGCTGCAATTGGAGATCTGGTGCGAGAAGCTGGAATTGTGGGGGGACTGTGCATAGTAGCGATAACTGGAAAGGGAATAATGGGAGGATGAGGGAGTGGTGTGTGAGGAGACTAGAAGGGTGAGGAAATAGTGGAGGCCGGGGAAGTTGGAAAGATATTAGGAGACTCGGAGGAATTCTAGGGATACCTAGTTACTCGGGGTCTTGGAAAACAGCCAGGAGAGAACTAGGGGGTTCCTATATACTTGGAAAAAGGTTTTTCAGGGAAGTATGGGAGAGCTGCCTGGAGGCAGTGGGAAACAGGGGGCTTTGTTGCTAGTGAATTGCCAGAAGTTAGACGGTACAGGATCATTATGTAGAGGAAAGGATCAGACTCTGTGGAGGATGTCTTATAGTCTATCCTGAACTTTGTGGCCAAGAGTGGGTTGGAGGCCTCAGAGCAGAGTCCACTTGGCTGCGCCGGGCCCTGGCATGGACCCTCTGGCTCTCTGAGACTGCCCTAGGATCTGTGGGGCTGTCAGGAGCTCCTACCCTCCATGCCCCAGGGCTCATTTTGTACACTTCAGGGACTCACAGGCTTTTTTTGGACCATGCCTGGGGTTGGGGAAGAGAGAGCCTGACAAACCTCGCCACCCCGAAGATATTGGAGGGGAGTGAGTGGGAGGGATTTGGGTGAGGTCCTTCGGTGGTGGTGCCTGGCAGTGGGAGGGCTGTTTGGCAGTATCATGAGGAAGTTGTGCCAGCTGCCAGCCCCAGGACCTGTCCAGACCTGGAGGATGCTGCCTGGGCCCCCCATACCGGCAGGTGGGGGAGGCAGCTCCTCCTCTCCCAAGTGCCTCACTCATTGCCAAAGCAGTGTAGGGAGACTGAATGGAGAAAGGCCTTGGGTCCCCAGCTTCCAGAGTTTTTCATAGAAACCGGGGAAATAGGGCAAGGGATTGTATGGGGGTGTCCTGGGGACCACTTTCTGAGGGTTAAGGGCCCTGGATTTGCCCTTGACTGGCTCTCTGCCTCTGAACAGAGATCCTCAGGGCCCTTATTTGTCACAGTGAGGTGAAGGTGACAGCACTGGTTCCATCTTGCTGCTATACCTTGTAAGCATCAAGAGTAAGGAAAGAAGCAAGAGAAGGCTGGGCCATGAAAGTCTTGATCTACCATACTTCCTTCAAAAATCTTTTTCCAAGTATATAAGGAACCCCAGTTCTCTTCTGGCTTAGTTTTTCAAGACTCTCAGAAAGCAGGCGTCCCCAGAATCCTTCCGCATTTCCTAAGACCTTCCCAGCTCTCCCAACCTCCCCTATTTCCTCACCTTTCTGGTCTCTGCATTCAGCACTCACCATTCTCCCAGTACTCCTACTCCTGCTCTTACTCCTCAGGGCTTCAAGATTCCCCCCTTCCCCCTACCCCTTACTTACTTACGCTCCTCCCTCCTTTCTCTTCCCAGTGCCTTTCTCTAATGGTGGGGTTTCTTCTGGGCTCCAGTATTGGCCAACTCTGCATGTTGCCTTGCACTTTGCATTTAGATCTGGTGGTTCTCCGGAGAGCAGCTTCCTCGGGTGTTACATGAGCCAAGCCCTCACTGTACAGATGAGTGAGAGCTGAAACCTGTTCCCTGAGCTGATCAGAAGGACATCCCTTGGCCCCTCCATCTGGGCCCCTGTGGATAGGAGGGGCTGGACGAGCAGGCCAGCTGGGCTATGGTGTGGTGCCTCGGCCTGGCCGTCCTCAGCCTGGTTATCAGCCAGGGGGCTGACGGTAAGCTCGACTCCTGGGCTCAAGAACACCCTGTTAGCCTTGGGGTGGGTATGGGGGTGTTCCTCAAGGGTTCCTCTTTGAGCATGTGAGGGCAGGGGAGGAATAGGGCTGGTTCTGGAGAAGCTGAACTGGGGGTTTCTCCAGTCACCCAAAGTCCTAAGGTGCCTACAGAGATACTGATGGCACCTCCCCTCCCAGCACTGACCGTGGCCCCCCGTTGTGCCCTCATGCCACCCATCATGCAGGTCGAGGGAAGCCTGAGGTGGTATCGGTGGTAGGCCGGGCTGGGGAGAGTGTGGTGCTGGGCTGTGACCTGCTGCCCCCGGCCGGCCGGCCCCCACTGCATGTCATCGAGTGGCTGCGCTTTGGATTCCTGCTTCCCATCTTCATCCAGTTCGGCCTCTACTCTCCCAGAATTGACCCTGATTACGTGGGTAAGAGTTCTCCTCAGGTGGGAGGTAGGCAGGTATCAGCAAGAAAGGTGGACTGGGTAGAGTTGGGCAAGGCCTCCTGTGAACTGCTCTGTCCCTGCCCTGATCTCATCTCCAGCCCTGCTGCCTTAACTCTGCTTAACAAGCATGGTTGTGCTCCCAAGCAGTGTTAATTCATTGAAAGATTCATTCATTTACACACACACACACTCACACTCACTATTATAGCTGTGCTATTTAGGACTCCACGTGGTCTGTTCCAAAGGAGATCCTGTAGCCCTATTCCAAGTATCCATTCTAATTTTGTAACTGCTTTTTCTAGATCTCATCATGAAACCTCCCAGACTTCATCCTGATCTGTAGTCTCCCCATTTGGCCCTACCTTGGTCCTGGCTCTACTACCTGCTCACTCCTCTGCCCTCTCCCCCTTCCCCATCACCTTAAATGCTAGCTCAGGGATTCAAGTCTTCTAGGGAATGGGCTGATGGGGCAGCAGGATGGGTGCGGCTGTGACCTCTCTGCTTTTCCAGGGGCACTCAGCCTGCTTCTGAGTAGAGAAGCACAGGTGTACGGAGAGGGTGGCTGGGGAGGGCCCAGGTTCCCCAAAGGTCAGTGACTGAATGGGGCTGGCCTGGGTTGCTGCTTTAGGTGGCACCTGTTGGGACTTAAAATCGTGTGTAGCCTCCCTGGGCGCCTTCTGCTGCACCCCAGCTGGCTCCCTAGAATGGCTACAATGGCTCTGCTTCCTCCTAATCCAGATGGAGCCTTAATCTAAGCGGTTTAGTGCCAGGTCTCAGAGGGCAGTGTGCAGGAGGCCCTGAGGACGGGTCTGGGCTAGGGCTGAGAGAGAGTCTTGTTGCCTCCTCTTCAGAGAGGGGAGACCCAGGAAAGGCCACCTGGGAGGATTTTGATGGGGAGACCCCCACCTTTTCCCTCTTTAGTTTGAATCTTGAGGGAAACCCTGGGATTGGCTGAGCCTTGCCACAGGGCGGGCTGAGCGGAGAGGGGAGGAGGTGCAGGCAGGTGATGCAGAAGGGAAGTTTATTTTCAAACTGGGGGCAGTTATTGGCAAACAGCCTGGTGGGAGTGTATGTGTCTACACAAGCCCTGTGGGAATGGATGAAAGCGGGCCCCAATTAGCACCAGTGGAGAAAAAAACGGCTGTACCCACCAGCCCTCCCTCCCTGCCTCCGCCTGCCCGGGCCTGGGAGGGGTCTTGGGCTGCCGGGCTGAGACTGGACAGATTCAAAATGTTGCCTGACTGAGGGCAAGGCAAGGGGAGGCGGAAGAGAGAGGGGCTTTTCCTGGGACTCCACCAGGGAGACTTGAAGCTCTTCCTTCTCTCCAGCTTGTGTCCTGCCTTGAGGTCCCTCAGGCCTGAAGCCACTGGATGGTTAGCAACTTTGTCTACCTGTGGGTCTTCCTTCTGTCTGTGCTGTTGCTTGAGTTGCAGGGGCTGTGAGCAGTAGCCTCTGGGACTTACTCTCTACTCCTATCCGTTGTTCACACCCCTACCTCAGTCTGGAGCTCTTGGTCGGGCCCTCTGGCCGAGGGAGTTGAGACCTGAGGGAGACCCCTGAGCCCACTAACCCTTTTACTGCCTCACAGTGTGGAAGGGGCCTCTCAGCCTTTGTGTAGGGGACTCGGAACTGCAGTTGCTAAGCAACAGAAGGTAGAGGTTGCTAAGGACAATGCTCTTCTGTCATAAACCCTCTGGGCAGTGAAGGGGAGATGGGCCAGGGACTGTTGTGGGGCTGGTGGTCTAGAATGTGTGCGGAACCCTGACAGAGACTGTTGGAGGATTAGGGACCACACAGAAGGGAAGACTTCCCATCTTTGAGGACTCTAGAAGCATCTAGCAGAGGGGACTGGATTTATCAACGAGTGCCATGGAGTGAAAGCAATACAAAACAAGCTAGGACTAAAGAGTAGGATTCAGTTAGCTGCCGTGTGTAAAGTGTCCCGGCCTGTGCCCGTACAGTGCCTATGTGGTGTGAACCCATGACCAGGCCTCCGGAAAGAAGGTTAGGCTTAGTCGACACCAGCTTTCCTAAGGTGGATCTTAGACCAACTCATCAAAATGGCGGGATGGACTTTTGTGCTGTATTTCTTGGGATTTTCAAGATGCCCCACATAGCAGAAGGGACGTGCATTTTTTTCTCTGCCCTGAGTTGTTTGATAAAAATCAGTGACCTCATTCTCCACTTAGAACTCCCCTGCTTGCTCTAGTCACCTCCCCTCACCACCTTTTATTCTTAACCCTCTGCCCAGTCACAGCTTCCCAGAAGCCTTCCTTACTCCTCTTGCTTCATAGTGCAATGTCTGGGTGCAGTTAGCACCATTTTTTGAACTTCTTTGTGGATGTGTGGACATGAACTTGCCCATTTAGGTGACTGTGGGTTCCCTGCCTTCTGAGAGCTCAAGAGAGCAGAGACTGTGTCTCCTGTTTTCTTCACACACCCCTGCATACGGGAAGATCTGAAGTCAACAGGCTTTAGCCCTGCAGGTGGAGGGAGGCCTCCAGGAGGTGGGCCCAGGACTCAAGAGGACTCAGGGCTGCCCTGCCGGAGATCTTCCTGTTCTTCTGTAACACTACAGGTCTAGCAGTCCAACTGTCAGAAAAGCTAGGACACGCAGTATGCTTCTTTGGATATTCTCAGTAACATTTGCACTGTTACCCATTGGCTACCAGCATCTCCCAAGTGAGAATATACCGTTTACACCCAGTGCCCTGAACAGCACTTTGTCCTAACACCCGTGTCCATGGAAAGCATGCTGCGCCTGGAGAAAGAAGCCTGGCTTTGTCACTTACTAGCCATGTGATTTTGGAAAGAAACTTAACATTTTAATTCCTTAAGCTACAATAGAATTCTTGGGAGGATTAAATATGGTGACAACGCCTAATATTACATGGCCCGTATTCCACACTCAATCTTCCTTCCCTCTTCTTCCTTCTTTGTGGAGCTAGAAGATCACAATAATGAAAAGTGTCATATGGGACATAGAAGAGGTTGCAGTCTGGGGTCTGCAGGGTTCAGCAGCCAGGCAGATTAGCCTTCTTGAGGAATCCTGACAGTAGGTAGAAGGGAATGATTATGTTAAATATTTACCCGCTAGGCCTAGTCTTATCTCCCGGGTGGGGATTTCAACACCTAGCCCTTTAAGCAGGTCCACCCATCCTAGAGAATCCACACCCTGGAACTCATTCTAAGTACAAAAAGACTCTTGCCTAAGATCACAAAGCCTGCCTCAACTTGATCCTTCTTTTCTCTTCTTTCTGAAATAGATCACTCTAGAGGTAGAATGGAAGCAAATTGCAGGGACTGAGCACATTCACAGCTTCGGAATTTCTAGTATTAGGAAGAGCTGGGGTGGACGCTATGCAAAGGGACTTGGAGCAACATTTGCATACAACATAAGATTAAGAAAATGCAGCCAGGCACAGTGACTCACAGCTTAATCCCAGCACTTTGGGAGGCTGAGGCAGGAGGATCCCTTAAGGCCAAGAGTTTGAAACTAGCCTGGGCAACATAGCAAGACCCCTGTCTTCAAAAGTTAAACAATTAGCCAGGCATGGTGATACTTGCCTGTAAACAAGCTACTTGAGAGGCTGAGGCAGAAGGATCACTTGAGCCCAGGAGTTCGAGGCTGCAGTGAGCTACAATCAAACCACTGCCCTCCAGCCTGGGCAACAGAGTGAGACCCTGTCTCTAAAAAAAAAAAAAAGAAAGTTCCATTTGTTCACAGCGGAGGTCAAGGTGGGGATGAGCAATGGGATGTAGAGGGGAGGAGGCTGGAGGCAGGGAGACCTGCAAGTAGGCTGTTGGAGAAACCCAGGTGAGACACGCCACACGTGTAAAGGTGAGGACAGCAGAGAAGGGGAAATGTTTAGGAGGTAGGATTTGAAAAACCTAATAAGCAAGTAGATATGGGAGGTAACTGAGGAATCTAGGAGATGCCAGGTTCCTGATAAGGTAACTTGGTGTGTGGTGGTGCTGTTCACTGATGCAGGGAGAGAAAAGGAAGATGATGTGTGATCAGTTTAGGGCCAGGGCCAGGACTTGAGTGCAGCTTTCTGATTTCAAATCTAGACCTCATTTATTTGTTCAACAACTTTTATTTGAGCATCCAGTGATACCAGGCACCATGCTACATGCCTTCCCTACGTTATTTCTCTCCTCCACCCCACCTTAATTTTGTTTCTCTTCTTTTTACAGATGAGGTAAGAGAGGTTAAGTAACTTGCCCAAAAGAGTACACAGTCGAGCTGGACTCATGCCTAGGTCTATCTGGCTCCCAAGTGTGTGCCTGTATCACGAGGCTACACTGCCAGGGACCCATGAAGCCGTTTGGGGTGCACAATTGCATCCAGGGAGGGTGCTGAGGGCTTGGGTAGGCACCCTCGGTCTGAGCCTGGCAGTGTGGTGTGGATGCTGACTAACAGCGGGGTTGAGGTGTCTGGTTGTACTGTGGTTGTGTGGCTTTGTGGAACTGTATGTGGTCAGCCTGCTGGGGCCTGAGTGCCCCGGGGCATGGAAAGGATGGGGCGAGGAGGCTGCTGACTTTGCTGCTTGCTGGGCTGGACTCTGGCCACCCTAAGGCGCTTAGGCTGCTGATAATAGCCCTGAGGGATTAGGGGCTTTGGCAGGCGGGGTCTGGGTTCCCCTGCTAGGGCCTCAAACACTGCTGAGGTTTTCAGGGAAACAATGCTCTATCAGGAGTACTCCCAGGAGCTCACACCTTCCCCTACAAAAAAAGCCCAGATCCTGTAAGAGTCCAGAGGAGACTACGTGCTGGCTCTTCACCTCCTTCCCCAACAGTCCTGGATGCCGAGTGCAGTTCAGGGGGAAGGTTTTGTCCACCTGCTGTCCCCTTGGTTTCTCTTTGTGTAGACAGGGTCCCAGCTGTTGAACGGCAAGAGCGGTCAGAGGGGCTGAATGGAGGGACCTGTCCTGAATGACCCCAACCCCATCTGCATCTCTGTGGACCTCACACTCTCAGAGTAATTGGGAGAGACTGAGCCTGTTCTTACCTCTAAGAATTACCAGTGTGACCAGGGGATTGGGGCTTCCATGGGGTTCCTTCAGCACCCTTGATTCAGGGCTCCTCCCCCAGGACGAGTCCGGCTGCAGAAGGGGGCCTCTCTCCAGATTGAGGGTCTCCGGGTGGAAGACCAGGGCTGGTACGAGTGCCGCGTGTTCTTCCTGGACCAGCACATCCCTGAAGACGATTTTGCTAACGGCTCCTGGGTGCATCTGACAGTCAATTGTATGAGGCTGCGGGGCAGGTGGTGGAGAAGGACAGGGAGGAGGAGGATGGGGACCTCTGGCTGGTGGGAGAAAGGGGAAGAGGGAGTTCTATTTCTATCCCACAAACAACTCCGATGCCCCACCCTTCCTGAGAGTCCGTGTTTGCTCACTTAGTAGTTGCATCTCACCCCTCCCCCATACTCCTGCCCTTTTCAGTTCTTCAAATATAAATCCAATCAGTCTTCTAAGCTCTGTGTCAGGAACTCCCTCTTTCTCTTCCCTCCTGCTTCCTTGGCCAGGGAAGTGGGTGGGAGAGAGGGGGCTCTTGGGCCCTGAGTGAAACACAGCTTACATACACATAGCACTTTGTGTTTTCAAAATACCTTTTCACCCAGGCCCTTATTATTTCTGTCTCACTCCTAAGTAGGAAGGAGGTCATAATCATTCCCACTGCATAGGTGAGGCTGGGTCATGCCACTGATTAGTGGCAGAGCAGAGTCTAGGACCCAGCCCTCCTCACTCCCAGAACAGTGCTCCTCCCGAGGGGACGTGGCTCTCCCCGCCGGCTCTGGACATCCAGCCTGGGTTCAACCCCAGGCCAGTGTGTGGGGGTGGGTTGATAGAATCCTCACTTGGCCCGGGTGCAGCAGACAGGGTGGCCCCGGGCTGAGCATTCCTATGAGGCGGGGCTGGTGGGTGGGCAGGGCAGCAGGCTGGAGCCCTGAGTCATCTCCCTGGCCCTCGGACACTGCTCTTTGCGCTGACAGCCCCTCTGGGGCCCCGATGCCTGTCTCCCTTGCAGCGCCCCCTCAATTCCAGGAGACACCTCCTGCTGTGTTGGAAGTGCAGGAACTGGAGCCTGTGACCCTGCGTTGTGTGGCCCGTGGCAGCCCCCTGCCTCGTGTGACGTGGAAGCTCCGAGGAAAGGACCTTGGCCAGGGCCAGGGCCAGGGCCAGGGCCAGGTGCAAGTGAGTCCTGGGGGTGGATAGAATGAGCCATATAGAGTGTGAAGGGAAGGTGGGGGCCTGGCAGTGGGGCCAGAGGACAGAGGAGGCAAAGGCCAGGCTGGAAGATGGGCCAGGAGAGGGGGTTGGCATTGTTTGCCCCGAGCCTGGGGTGCTGCCTCCCTCTGCTGGCCAGCCTCGGAAGTGCAGGATCTGAGGCTGGCAGGGGAAAGGACTCTTCCTCACCCACTCCTTCCCTAGGTGCAGAACGGGACACTGCGGATCCGCCGGGTAGAGCGAGGCAGCTCTGGGGTCTACACCTGCCAAGCCTCCAGCACTGAGGGCAGCGCCACCCACGCCACCCAGCTGCTAGTGCTAGGTGCTCTCTGGCGGGAGGGCTGGGCTCCAGGGTTACCTATGCAAGGGGGCTGTGACCTATGGCTGAATTGGTTCGCAGCAAGATAGGAAGATCTGTGCCTGAGGGCAGGGCCCGTGGAAGCTGAGGGGGCTCCCAATGCAGGCTGTCGCTCTGAAACCAGCACCTTAATTTTAAAAGGCTCGGTAAGCAGACAAAGCGATCTTAGTGCCTAGTAGTGTGTTATAGTGGAAAGGACATGGGTGCTTGTGTTAGGCTGTGAACCCGCTAACTCCTTGAGTCCCAGTTTCTTCATCTTTATAAAGAGACTCATGTCTACCTCTCAGGTCTGTTACAAGAATTTACTTAGGTCCAGCTGAGCCCAGTCACAGGCACATGGAATTCCTGGCCAAGATCCTTCCTTTAGAAGGGAAACTGAGAAGCAGAAGGCCTGGACTGTGCCTTCATAGAGCCTATTATCTTTGCGGGGAAGTGGGACTAATTGGGGAAACAGGGAAGTGTTGCTGTCCGTGGTACTGTAAGAAAGGCAGTGCCGGGTGATGGTTAAAGTGTCGTCTGTGGCATAAGGAAGCCTAATGGGAATGTTGCCTCTCCTGCTGTCCTTGGGCAATCACCTCACAATCTCTCTGCCTCTGAGCCTTCATTTCTTCATCCATAAAATGGAGACAATTCCCACCGCCAAGCTTTTGGTCAGGATTAAATGAGGTCGTGCAGGTAAAGTGCTTAGCACTCAGTGTCCCGCATGCAGTCAGTGCTCTGTTGTGTCAGCTCGCATCATGACCTCTTCTTACTGACTGCTCATGCGGTACCGGCCCAGAGAGGGGAAGAAGTAGTGGAACTGTAGTAGCAGAGGTGCTTTTGCAGGAGGTATGTGGTGTGGCCAGGCCCTTGGGAGGGACATTCCAGACCGGGGGTGCAGGGAGCAAAGGCATGGAGATGGGGGACAGTCAGCTGCCCACACTGACCTGAAAGAGTTCATGAGGGCTGACATGGAAAGATGGCTGGCCAGGTAGGGAGGGTTTGGATCTCAGGGGTCCACACGGCTGGGTTTGAGCTTAGTGTAGTAGGAGCCAGGTGCTGTTGCACGTTCCTGAGCAGAAGTGTTCTGTGGCTCAAGGGGCTGTTTCTGTATGAATGGCGATTAGAGTGGCAGCCACAGGGGAGCCTGGAGTCAGGGGCTGCTGCAGCATCTTGAGGTGAAGTATTGGGCACCTGGGTTAGGGTCAGAGACAGAGAAGTAATTCAAGAGGTGACAAGTAGGGATACAAATGGTAAATGAGCAGAGTTAAACTGACTCCCCCAAACACACACACCATTCCTAGGCAGTGGAACCGCATGAATGGGGTTGCTCTTGATGGAACAGAGAGAATTTGGAAAGAGGAATGGGTCTCAGGGAGAGGATGAATTCTTGTTACATACGGGGGAAGCTTCTGTTTCCGTTCCCCAAAGCCCGGTAACAACGAGCCCTAGGATTCCAGAGGGCAGAGCTGGGAAGGATTGCAGAGGTGACCTCAGGGTTCTGGGAAGACCGTGGGCTGAGGCCACCTTCCTCCCCTTGTGCACCCCACAGGACCCCCAGTCATCGTGGTGCCCCCCAAGAACTGCACAGTCAATGCTTCCCAGGATGTTTCCTTGGCCTGCCACGCTGAGGCATACCCTGCTAATCTCACCTACAGCTGGTTCCAGGACAACACCAATGTCTTCCACATTAGGTGGGGTCACCCTCATTAGGAGGGTGGAGGTGGGGAATTCACAGTCTCTGAAGAGCCACTTGGCTGGGCAAGGCCTGGATCCCTCCTCACACATGCCACATTGCAGCCGCCTGCAGTCCCGGGTGCGGATTCTGGTGGACGGGAGCCTGCGGCTGCAGGCCACCCAGCCTGATGATGCCGGCTGCTACACCTGTGTGCCCAGCAATGGCCTCCTGCATCCACCCTCAGCCTCTGCCTACCTCACTGTGCTCTGTAAGCTCCTGACCCCAGCTTCTCCCACAGCCTGCTCCCTTCCCCTGGGCCAGGCCAAGCCCCTCTCCCCCAACTTGCCACTACTTTCCCCCAGACCCAGCCCAGGTGACAGCTATGCCTCCTGAGACGCCCCTGCCCATAGGCATGCCGGGGGTGATCCGCTGCCCGGTTCGTGCCAACCCCCCACTGCTCTTTGTCAGCTGGACCAAGGATGGAAAGGCCCTGCAGCTGGACAAGGTACAGGCTTGGGGCAGTACAGCTTGGTGTTATTCTGCTCAGGACAGCAGGGTGGAGTTAGCTCAGTTTAATTCAATTCTGTGACTGGGGACACACATCTTTTGTGAATTTAATTTATGTTATGAGACATGTTGCATAGGAGACTACTTAAAACCCCTGAGGAAAAATTTCCATGGTTTAAGGTGGTGGTTTTGTGTCTTCTTTGGGGAAAGAAGAGAGATGATCTCTGGGGAAAATGATGGGAAAGAGTCAAGAAGCAGAACTGAAGGTTCTTTCGTGTGATGATTGGGGAATTGTGTGTCCCGGGGAACACACACTTCTTACCAGGTGCTGTGTGGGATACTGGGTTGGGGGCAGGGGCAAGGAGGCATCCATCCTTCAAGTGGGCACTGCCTGGGCAGAGGACAGCAACACTGTCTGGAAGGCCACGGATGGAGCTCATGCCTTTCTTTTAGGGTGGTTGAGGCTAGACCAGCAACAGATTCTGGGACTCTGGTGATGGGCCTCAAAGAGGAGACAGTCATTCCCTTGCAGAAACCAGGTTCAAGAGGCAGGAAGTAGTACAGTGCGTTTATGGAATCATGTGTTATGGAATCATGGATCATCCAATTGGGTGGAAGCTGGAGTGCCTGTAGGGACATGAACGGTGCAGAGAAAGCTGGAAAGACAGGTTGGCATCAAAAGGCAGAACTGTGAATGCCAGGTTACCATTGCCTCATTCCAAGGCAATTGGGATCTTTTGTCTGCAGAGACTATAAATTTTTTGAGGCCTAGTATTGCCATCTTTTCATCGTAGTGTAGCTGGGGCTTCTACAACAATAGTACTCAGTATATCTTTGTTGACTGTTTAAGAAAAAAGTCTGCAGGCAGTTGGAGCTGCTGGAGTTTGTTGAGCATTGGTGTGATAGCATCAGAGCTGTGATCAGGGATTGAGCTTATCCAGTGGAATGTAGCAGGAGATACTGGACATAGGAAGAGGGGTTCTGAAGCTGCTGAAATGGCCAGGTGAGAGTTGTGGAGTCTGATTTAGAGAGGACGACATGAAGATGAATGGGCTCATGCCCCGACAAAAGGGACCTCTCAGGATGACTGGCTTAGGATTTCGCTGGGGGAGTGAGGGAACGTGCGGAGGCAGACTTCAGCAAAGAGGACAGTGGGCCCTTTAATAGAGAAATAGGAGCTGGTGTGGGGCGGAAGACGTTGAACTTCGTTGTGGAGTGCTGGGAAGGGAGCCAGGTGAAGTCCCAGCAGGCAGGAAGCCCCATGTAGCCCAACTCCAGGGGTGGCCATTCACAGTGTATTTTCTGTGAGTGTTACCCCCTGGAGTTGTGCAGTCACAGCCTCACACTATTGGGAGGGGTCCCTCTGTAGGCAGGAGAGAAAGGAAGCGCTGGAAGTCGGAGAGGGGTCAGGCCTAGACATGGAGCTGCTGGAGTCCTCTGCATAGCTGTGGGTTTCTCGTCCTGCCCCCTCTCTTGTACTGCCATCCCGGGCTTGTCTCTGCTGAGCTCCTCTCTCTAGCTGTCATCTCCTCTTCCTTCCAGTTCCCTGGCTGGTCCCAGGGCACAGAAGGCTCATTGATCATCGCCCTGGGGAATGAGGATGCCCTGGGAGAATACTCCTGCACCCCCTACAACAGTCTTGGTACCGCCGGGCCCTCCCCTGTGACCCGCGTGCTGCTCAAGGTTAGGCCGGGGGTGGGCGGGGGCCTGTGGTGACAGTGAGTCAGATGGCTAGAGATGGCGCTAAGGCCAGGCTGATGGGGGTGGGGCGGGGCAGACACATGGGGAGGGGTTTCCAAGTCTGTTTCCCATGGTGGCCACGGCAGCAGCTGCCTGATGCCATCCCAGAGGTTTCTGCAGAGGTGGTGCTTGGGAGGTGGGACATCAGTCACACACATCCAAAAGTAAGATATCCTGTCCACCCCAACTCTCACTAACCTTGACCGTGCTGCCTCCCTCTCTGGGGCTCTGGGAGGAAGAATGTTCTGCAGAAGTTTGTACATCACTGAGAGTCCTGCCTAAGCCTGCCAGCCCTTACTATGCCACCATTTCCCTCCAGCCCCTACCCACTGGGGAACAGACACAGAGCCACAGAAGAATTGAGAGATGGAGAGAGAATGAGGTGGAGACAGGCTTGGTGAGTGTTTAGCTAGGGGGAGTGAGAGAGAGTGAGGTGAGACATGGCATGACAGGAACACAGAGAGGGGGAGTAGCCAACCTTAGATGGTGATGTAAGAGAGGGCCCCTCCCAATGCCAGACCTGGCTTGCAGGCTCCCCCGGCTTTTATAGAGCGGCCCAAGGAAGAATATTTCCAAGAAGTAGGGCGGGAGCTGCTCATCCCCTGCTCCGCCCAAGGGGACCCTCCTCCTGTTGTCTCTTGGGCCAAGGTAAGGCTCCTGAGCCCGCTCTGCCTGTACCCGTGCCCACTTCACCCCTGCCTCTTGTGCCCCAGCCATTTTGTGGGAGGGAGGGTATGGGAAGGAGAGGGCTGTCAGAGGCAGGGTGGGGAGGAACTGGAGCTGCCTGGAGAGATGAGGGGCGCCCTTGGTGAGGGGTGGCTGCGTGTGTCCTCAGGGCTCACCAGTGGTTCTGTAGGTGGGCCGGGGGCTGCAAGGCCAGGCCCAGGTGGACAGCAACAGCAGTCTCATCCTGCGACCATTGACCAAGGAGGCCCACGGGCACTGGGAATGCAGTGCCAGCAATGCTGTGGCCCGAGTGGCTGCCTCCACCAACGTCTACGTGCTGGGTTAGTGGCTGGAGAGATGGCCAGGGGCTGGGAGAAATTACATGGGAATCGTTTTTGGAGGCCCAGAAAGGGGATCATGGGTGTGGGACCCCTGGGATGATGATGGGTGAAGGGCACTGGCCTTGGGGCCCCTGCTACTCTTTACACTCCCTCAGGCCCTGACCACCATTCCTCCATTCCCCCCTGCCCAGGCACTAGCCCTCATGTTGTCACCAATGTGTCCGTGGTGCCTTTGCCTAAGGGTGCCAATGTCTCCTGGGAGCCTGGCTTTGATGGTGGCTATCTGCAGAGATTCAGTGTCTGGTACACGCCACTGTGAGTGACCTGCTCCTGCCATTTCTCTGCGCCAATCTTGCCTCCTTTCCTCTCCTCCTTGAACCTATCTGGCCTTCTGCCCTGTCTTCTGTCCCTCTATCCTTCACCAGTCCTGGCTCTGCTTCCCTGTTTCCAGATTCTGAGTTCAGGGCCAAGGTCCTGAGACCTTGGATGGTTGAGCAGAGAGGAGTTGGTTAGATCTCTGGACCCCAGATCTTCTGGTCTACCTAGCTAACGAGGTACCCCCCCGTGTCCTCATGTCTCCCAGGGCCAAGCGTCCTGACCGAATGCACCATGACTGGGTGTCCTTGGCAGTGCCTGTGGGGGCTGCTCACCTCCTAGTGCCAGGGCTGCAGCCCCACACCCAGTACCAGTTCAGCGTGCTGGCTCAGAACAAGCTGGGGAGTGGTCCCTTCAGCGAAATCGTCTTGTCTGCTCCTGAAGGTGAGAGGCTTGTAGTCCCAGAACAGCAGAGACAAGGATGGGGAAGGGCTGCTAGGAAAGTTAGGATATAGGAGGTTCTGGGTGGGAAGGGGCAGAGGTGCTGGCCAGTTTAGGGTCCAGAGGGGTGTGTGGAAGATGATTTGAGCTTGTCTTCAGGGGCTCTGGGAGAAGAGTTGGGCACTGGGGTCGTGGAAGGCCAGGGGAGGGGCGCTGGGAATCCTTGCTCTGACCTGCCTTTCTGTCCCCTGCAGGGCTTCCTACCACGCCAGCTGCACCCAGGCTTCCTCCAACAGAGATATCCCCTCCCCTGTCCCCTCCACGGGGTCTGGTGGCAGTGAGGACACCCCGGGGGGTACTCCTGCATTGGGATCCCCCAGAGCTGGTCCCTAAGAGACTGGATGGCTACGTCTTGGAAGGACGGCAAGGCTCCCAGGGCTGGGAGGTGCTGGACCCAGCTGTGGCAGGCACAGAAACAGAGCTGCTGGTACCAGGCCTCATCAAGGTATGTGCGAGAGGCAATACATGGAGCAGCCTCCTAGGGCCTCTCCTGCATCCTTCTCCATTCCCCAAACCCTATCTTCTCATCTTGATTTGAGCTCTTCATCTCCGCATCCTACCTCACCCTTCCGTCCCACCTGCACAGTCTTTCCGCGCACCGCTGGGATGGGCGGTGCTGGGCCCTGACCTCCCTCCTGGCACTCCATCCCCATCGCAGGATGTTCTCTATGAGTTCCGCCTCGTGGCCTTCGCAGGCAGCTACGTCAGCGACCCCAGCAACACGGCCAACGTCTCCACTTCTGGTGAGCACCTGGAGTGAGGGAGGAGCCCCAGGGCTTGCGGGTAGGGGGTGGGCTCCGAGTCCACTGACCCTCCCTCGTGGCCCCCTGCCTAGGTCTGGAGGTCTACCCTTCGCGCACGCAGCTGCCGGGTCTCCTGCCCCAGCCTGTGTTGGCCGGCGTGGTGGGCGGGGTCTGTTTCCTAGGCGTGGCCGTCCTCGTGAGCATTCTGGCCGCCTGCCTCATGAACCGGCGAAGGGCTGCCCGCCGCCGCCGAAAGCGCCTCCGCCAAGGTAAGCCCCTCCACCCTCAGCCCTCCTCCTGCGCACTTGGGCCTAGCGCACCGAAAGGCCCCGCCCCTCCTTAAGCCCCTCCTACCTGGGGGAAAATCCTCGCTCCTGTGTGATCCAGGTGCATTCTCTTAGTCCTGCATCTGGTCCTGCCTACGCTTTTCCCACCCGGATGGGGTTGGGCGTCTGGTGTTGGGTGAGAGAGTCTGCGCCTGGAGGGCCTGGTTTTTTGCCTGTGTCACCTATTATTCTCGTGCCCTTCCAGATCCACCTCTTATCTTCTCTCCGACAGGGACATCAGCTGCACCGTAAGTGCCTCCACCTCCTTGGCTTTCTTCTGCTTTTCCATTGTACATGCCAGTATCCTCTGCTTCCTTTTTTGCATCTTTACTAGGGGGATGTTAGGGGTGGGAGAGGAACAAAAGTGGGAGAAGGTAAGAAGGGGTGTGCAGTGGCCCCAGCCTGAGGCCGGTCCAGTATGGCCTGTGCCTTCCCTCCACCCCTTCCACCTTGTTGGTCCTTTCCTCGCTTGTTCTCCCTAGCTCTGCTCTGTTCACCAAACCTCTCAAGGCCTGACGCTGGCTCCTGGGAGGGGGACCTGCCCCTACCACAGACCCTGATCTCCTGTCCTTCCCCAGCTCTGCTCTGGGCTCAGGCAGTCCTGACAGCGTGGCGAAGCTGAAGCTCCAGGGTTCCCCAGTTCCCAGCCTGCGCCAGAGTCTGCTCTGGGGGGATCCTGCCGGAACTCCCAGCCCCCACCCAGATCCTCCGCCTAGCCGGGGACCCTTACCCCTGGAGCCCATTTGCCGGGGCCCAGATGGGCGCTTTGTGATGGGGCCCACTGTGGCGGCCCCCCAGGAAAGGTCAGGCCCGGAGCAGGCAGAACCTCGGACTCCAGCCCAGTGTCTCGCCCGGTCCTTTGACTGTAGCAGCAGCAGCCCCAGTGGGGCACCCCAGCCCCTCTGCATTGAAGACATCAGCCCTGTGGCGCCCCCTCCAGCAGCTCCACCCAGTCCCTTGCCAGGTCCTGGACCCCTACTCCAGTACCTGAGCCTGCCCTTCTTCCGAGAGATGAATGTGGATGGGGACTGGCCCCCTCTTGAGGAGCCCAGCCCTGCTGCACCCCCAGATTACATGGATACCCGGCGCTGCCCCACCTCATCTTTCCTTCGTCCTCCAGACACCCCTCCTGTGTCCCCCAGGGAATCACTTCCTGGGGCTGTGGTAGGGGCTGGGGCCACTGCAGAACCCCCTTACACAGCCCTGGCTGACTGGACACTGAGGGAGCGGCTGCTGCCAGGCCTTCTCCCTGCTGCCCCTCGAGGCAGCCTCACCAGCCAGAGCAGCGGGCGAGGCAGCGCTTCGTTCCTGCGGCCCCCCTCCACAGCCCCCTCTGCTGGAGGCAGCTACCTCAGCCCTGCTCCAGGAGACACCAGCAGCTGGGCCAGTGGCCCTGAGAGATGGCCCCGAAGGGAGCATGTGGTGACAGTCAGCAAGAGGTGAGAGCAGTCCCTGCCCATCCCTACCTCTGCCTCAGTCCTGCCACAGACCTCACCCCTCTCCCAATACCCTGCGCCTTCTCTGCTCCACTCCCACCCTGGGAATGGGAAACCTTGTCTCCTTTTAGAAACTTTTGCTGAGGTCCAGGGATTTTTCAGGGGAAACCCATGGCCTAATGTGAGTTTGTGGTCCCTGAATTCAGACTTTTCTGAACAGCTTCTATTCCTCCACCCACACCATATGTTTGTCTTTTTTTATAGGAGGAACACATCTGTGGATGAGAACTATGAGTGGGACTCAGAATTCCCTGGGGACGTGGAATTGCTGGAGACGTTGCACCTGGGCTTGGCCAGCTCCCGGCTCAGACCTGAAGCTGAGCCAGAGCTAGGTGTGTGAGCCCCAGGGAAAGGCAGGCATCTCGGCCATGCTGTCCCACATCCCCCCTGCCACCTTAGGACCCATCTATTCCCAGTCAGACCCTGCCTCCCAGGCTTCTCTGCTCTAGACTGTGCCTTGCCCCCTTGGGCCATCTGTACTGGAAGGGCCTAACGAGCTTCACCTCTGAACTCTTCACTCAGTGAACCTCAGGGCTTCTTCTCATTGTCCTGCCCGCCTCTTGCAGGTGTGAAGACTCCAGAGGAGGGCTGCCTCCTGAACACTGCCCATGTTACTGGCCCTGAGGCCCGCTGTGCTGCCCTTCGGGAGGAATTCCTGGCCTTCCGCCGCCGCCGAGATGCTACTAGGGCTCGGCTACCAGCCTATCGACAGCCAGTCCCTCACCCTGAACAGGCCACTCTGCTGTGAACACCCCTAAAGTGAGGCTGGGAAAAGGCATATGGACCTGCAAAGGAGGCCCCCAACCAGACAGACCTAGCTTCAACCTAGGACTGCCCCTGTCTGCCCCTTTGGTGCCTAGACCCTGATAGTGGATAGTGGGCCTGGGTCACCTTGGTATGGAATGTATGTGCTGACCCCCTAGGTGAGTCTGGGGATTGGAACAGGGATCTTAGGTCTGCCCCCCCCCCCACCGTGTGTGTGTGTGTGTGTGTGTGTGTGTGTGTGTGTGTGTGAAGTTTTTTACAGGTGAATAAAGTTTGAAAGATGTTTCTGTGTGTTGTCAGTCTTTGAGAGAGTGCCAGGAGAATCCCTGGACCCTTAAAGAAGAGGAGAATCTTATTGAATGAATGGAGGTGCATTCAGCATTCATTCAAGAAGCATTTATTGAGTGCTTACTGAGGCCAGCTACTAAAGGCCAGCCATTGAAGTAGATACTGAGAAAATAAGGTTCTTGAAGACATGCCTTTGCCCTTGAGTTCTTTCTAGTCAGTGAGGCAGACAAGTAAAGAAATAGTTGCCATATGATGTGATAAGTTCTGTGATAAAGCTATGTGTTGGTTATTGTGGTAGCACAAAGGAAGATGTTGCATTCAAGGCCACAAACATTTAGCGAACGCTAATATCGTGTTCCGGGGCAAATGCCACATATTGGAGGGGAGTCCTCAGGACCCTCACAGATGGTGGTAATAATAATAGTAGTATTCACTATGTGCTAGGCACTGCTCTAAGCCCTATAGGTGGACTGTTTAGTTCTCTACAATTCTATGAATTAGGTAGTACTATTAGCTCTGTTTTATAGACCAGGGAACTGAAGCATAGAATGCTTTAGTAATGTGCACAACAGTCACACAGCAGGTAAAGGTGGGGAGCCAGTCAAGGAAGGGAAACTATCCTAGGCAGAGGAATAGCCTTTGTAAAGGCACAGAAGAGTGAGAATGCTTGACAATCAGTGGGACTGGAATATAGGGCTGTGTAGGACTTGGGGAGGGAACAGAGAATAGAAAGGTGGGACGGGACTGGATATTGACATCCTGGAATCTCAGGTTCAAGGGAGGACTCTAACATGTGTGAAGAACTCCACCCAGGGTGACTCTGTTCAACTGAAGCCTGAAAGGGTGGGGGGCTTTCTCTCTATCCCTGAACTGTGCCGTCCTCCACCCTCAGAGACAAAAGAGCCCTGGCCAGCCTCCTCCCGCTGAGGGCTCCCTCTGTGATCCCTCCAGGATTTAGGAAGAGATACCAGGTCAGAGAAAAGGAGATGAAAGGCAGGGAGAAGTCAGATCTGAACCCTGGGTCCCAACACCGAACACGCCCCTAGGGCCCTGGGCAAAGAGTGACCTCACTGTTAGTCCCTGCCCAGGCTTGAAGTAAGAGATGAGCAAGATCACGTGGGGGTGCTGTCCCGGCCTGCAAGTCCCAGTCCTGTCACACACTAGTCAGCTGGGGTCGGGGAAAGGCCTTCCTGTGCCTCCATTTACCTTGCCAGCCTCTAAACTAGGAGGCTTCTTCCCACATAAACACGCCCACAGTCTTCAGCTAACTTTCTAGGCAGCAAGTTTCCTACTGCGGCACAAGTCTACGGGCTCCCGGTGGAGGCTGAGGTTCTCACGGGTGGAGACCACTGCAGCTGCCTTCGTAGGTCCAGACTCCCCGAACCTTTAACCCTTGCTCTGGTCAACTGTCCCTCTGTCTCAAGCAGTCCCCCCGCCTTCTGCGCTGCGGCGCCTTTAAACCTTCTTGGCCCTTGCCCCGCCCCGGGTCCGCCCCGTCTGAGGCGGGACCCTCCTGAAAACCCCCGGCTGGGCAGGGCGCACCACTTGCAGCTGCAGCCCTTGCCTTGAGTGAGTGCGCCGCTTCCCAGCCCGCTTGAACGGTGAGCAAGTCGCAGGGACAGGGGTCGGGGGGATGTGCATGGTCTGTAGAAACCAAGAAGCCAGCGCTTTTGACTTGTTCCAGCGGGGATCAAGGGCTGGCACCAGGCAAGGGTCCGGTGATTACTTTACCCCGCCCCGTGCTGTCAGATCCTGTCCCCAAGCCCTGACCCGACATTGTTGGACGATGAGGTCAGGCGAGGTTAGTCCATGCATAGACAGGGCGTCCGTCCGTCCGAAGCACGGACTCAGGGACTGAGCTGCACCCGCGGGCTCCATCGCCGAGTCCTCACAGGGGCGAGGGGAAAGAAGGGCGTCGGACATTAGCTGACTGGCCCCGAGTGACCCCGGGTCGTGGCGCCGGCCCTGGGCCAGCTCGTGCTCCTGGGCTTTCCCGCGCGACCCTTCACTTCCTGGTTCCAGGAGCACGTGTGGGCACTGCGTGCCCTCTGAGTCCCCGAGGCCGCCCTTTTCATTCCTGTTCCTGCTAGCTTGCTATTCTGGGGACTCGAGGTCACGAGCTGGGGCTAGAGGACTCCGCATGGGTCGCACAGTGACCTTCTGTGAAGCTCCAGTCATCTCTATGACGGTCCCCCGACCTCGGGGGTCTGGGTGCTGCAGCCCTGACTGCGCCCCGGGGTGCCCTGTCTGTGTGAGGTTGTGGGGGTGGTGGTGGCTGCTTTTACCCCAGCCGGAGCGCCACTGCCCCCACCGGGTGCCCCCTGCTGCTGGGAAACCCGGTGGTGGCCGCGGGCGGGCGGGCTGCCCAGACCACTGCGTCACCCCAACGGCGGGAGGGCGGTGGGTGACTCATCTGCTCTAACGGCCCAGGGTGTGGTCGTGGGGGTGGGGGGGGGCGCGGCGGCTGGGAGGCCGGACCTGCAGGGCCGGAAGTGGACTGCCGCCTCCCCCCACCCCCGCGCCCTGGGCCTCTTGGGGCTACCTGGAGCCGGTGTCTTGGGAGTTCTGTGAGCAGTTGGTATCTGTGGGGCAGAGAGAAACGGGGTGAGAGTGGGGATGGAGTGTGGGATCCGATGTAGAAGACCTGCGGCTGGGACGGGGGTCCCCCAGTGTTCTCTTTGACTCCAAAGCACCAGACAGCGATAGCTCTCTATCTCCAGCCCCCTCCCAGTTTCTCCTCCCTACTGCAAGGGGCAGACCTAAAACTGCAGAGGAGGCCAAGACAGGGCGGGTCCAGTAGGACCCTACCATTCCAGAACCAACAAATAGGTTTTGTCCAACCGCAACTCCCTCCCTCACCCCAAGGCCTCTGCCCCTGCCCCCCACCCCGGGATTGGCCCCAATCCTTTCTTCATTCCATCCCTTCTCCCTCCAGAATTTTCAGCTGTGGGTTCTCTAGCTCAGAACACTTTCCCTTCCCAGGGAATTTCTTCTCCTGAACGACTACTTCCTGAGTCCGCTTCTTCACCCCAACACGGGTAATTTCCTATCTTCCCCTCACATGCTGTTCATCCCCACTATAGCTGCCTCCTGGAGGAATCCCTTGCACCTGGTTACACCCGAGCACTGCTGGGACGATCCCACTTATCCCGTGCTCACAGCCTCCTCACCTCAAAGTCTGTGTTGAGAGGGTGTTTCTGCCGGGAGCCCCCACCCAGCCTCCAACACTGTTTGGTATACAGAAGCCATGGCAACGGCCCCCACCTCATCCCCTCCTCCCACGCAAGCTTTGGAGCTTCCTGTTTGTGTAGCCTCAGCTTTCTCTTCTGCTCCTGACTCTCGGTGGTGAGGGGCTGCCCTACGGTGGTTCCCTTAATTGTGGGCCGCCCCCCATCCTTGCTGCTGCTTGTGGCACCTCGCTCTGTCAGCTGGTGCCCTCACTGTACTGCTCTTTGAGAACAGTCCCTGCCCCAAATCTGAGTTGGGAAGTTCTCCTGTGTCCCATCTGCACGGTGGATGGAGAGTCCCTTTGTCTTCCTAGTTAAACACCGTAGCCAAGAACCCTGAAGTCCTCCCCGCCCCTACCCATGTCCGCCTTTTCTTTGGCTTTGGCTTTGGCTTTGGTGAGGTAAGCTTCCAGCCTAGGGTCTGGGTGGGGCCGAGTGCCTGGCGTGGCCCCTCCCGTTTCCCGCCTATTGTATGTAACTCCAGGGTGAGGGCGAGCGTTGTTCTCACAGCTGGAGTAGCGCTAGGGTTTAGGTTGCTCGCTGCCAGCCTATCCCCCAGGTTGTTCAGCTATCACTTTCCTTTGGGGTCCCCAGCTCTGGGGGTCCCCCACACCTGTCTTCCAGCTGGGCATATCTCTTCTCACCCTGGTAGGCAACTTGCTTACTGTTTTCTTTATGGGAGGGCAGGGGCAGGTCCCCTGGGTGTCCCTAGGGTGGGCCTTCCCAGCTCCAGCAGCCGCAGCCCATCAGCTCCTGCCTGCCTGTGGGGTTGGGGAGGAGAAACAGCTGCTGGCCAGGCCTGGCCTGGTTGGAACTGCCCCTTCTCAGGACTCCGCCCTATGGCTCTGGCACCTCAGAGCTTGAGGGCAATGGCCCCAGAGTGGAGCAGATACACTGCAGCTGGAGGCCGCTACCCTGTCAGCTGTGTCCAGGCCCCAGAGTTGGGTGGTGGAGGGGGTTCCTCAGCATCCACTTTCCACCCAGTGGTGGGTCTGGGAGGCCAAGTTTGTCCTGCCTTGGGGGTTGGGGGGCACTGGAAGGGTCTGGCTTCAGGCCGTTCTGTCTGTTCTTAATCCCAGTGTCTAGGTTAATCATTCTCCTGCCTTTTCTTTACCTGTGCCATGGTGATCCCCGAGCCTCAGGGAGAGGTTCCAGGAGAGAGGTCTGGAACTGGGCAGCGGAGAGGGGGCTTACTAGTGGTAGTAGCTCTTAGCCCCTTCCTCCTCCTACCTGTCTTCCAGCCATTCCCCTGTGCCTCAGAGGTTAGAGGTTTCTGTGGCGGAGTGGCCGCTGGGGAGGGCGGGAATGCTTGTCTTGCTTTCTCCTCAGAACTCAGCCACTCCACCCCTCCTGCCTTCCCCCAGCTGATGGTGTGTGTGCCTGGTGCTGTGGGTCCGGGCCCAGACTGACATTTATCTGGCCCAGCTTTCGGGCTGGGGGAAGTGGAGGGGGCGGGTTGCTCTTAATGAGGTTTAAAAATAACTGATTTAGGGGAGGATCTGCCGGAAATGGGCAGCTTGATAAGCAGCCATGTTGGAGTCGGGACGGGAGAGACTGGCCTGAGACACAGCCTCTGCAGCTGAGAGGGGTTGAGGGTTTGAGGCAGGCTGGTCCCCTTGTATTTCGCAGAGTCCTGAGGCCCACTGAGCGGGAGTGGTGGGATTGTTTAACCTGGATGTGTGGGAGAGGGGGAGCCAGAGTGACTTCATCCCTGAAGGCCAACCTGGCCTGGAGCCAGATGTGGTTAGAAGGGGTGGCTCTCTTTCCT